TGGACACACTTGTTGATATGGCAAAGAGCGGACCACAAGAGCGTTTGTGTTGTGAGTTTCTTTGTCCATCCCCTTCCCCTTAGGTTCCCCTCCAATCCTGATATCATGCAAAACGCATAATATAATATTCAACATCATTTTTCGTAGTGTAATTTTTTAGTCTCTTATACTTTGTATAGCTGAGGCGGGTTTCGCACTCGCAGCTAACCCGTAGTTGTTCCTAGGCCAAAACTCTAAGCAATATTTTCACAGAGAAAGGGGAGTCCACCACTTGGATCGAATATGAATGGTTTTTACACAGCATGATTACAGCCGACCCTGGATGTAGATAAAGACTCCGTATTAGAGAACATGAAAAAATCCGCCAGAATAAATGTACCAATGCCCATGGTTGGAGCAGAAAGCCTCTCATTGTCACAAATTACCAACACGGTTGAGCCCCATAAGATTGTACAATGAACCCTACGGAATTCCGTAGCAGTGAATAGGCGCCAATGAGTGAATACCGCAGAGAGCGATTTGGGAGAGTGACAATCAGAGATTGGTATGTACCACAATCTAGAGATACTGAAAATGTGGTGGGAACAGACTGCAGCATCTAGGACCATTGATTAAAAGAGAACAAACGGGCCAGATCAACGCATCAAAGAGTGGCAATAGACGAGCAGCAACACCCGCCGAATTCCAAAAGGAGCTCAAACGAGGTGAACGATAAGACATGAAACAAAGACGAGAAAACCACAGCGATTCAAGGGAACCATGTGAGCCGCTGACTTCACGTTGGGCATACAGTAAAAGTTTTTATTGATGGATACTACGTGCTGCGCATTCGCAATACAGTACTCCAAGATGGGTTTCGAAATCGTGTGCACACGTTTACCAGGGATGGCAGGACTGTGGCCAGAATCAGGGAAGCCAATCGAAGTCCTTACTAATGTCCCGCATAGTCGCAGTGCGCAACGTTTGTCACTACGGTTAGTGTATCATTGGTCATGTTGAAGCAATCGCGAGATGGACTGTGATTCTCAGTGAATCGAATCGCGGTCAAATCGGTCAGCTTGACCGTAGTTTAAGCAGAGATAAGTGCTGCATGCTGCGTGCTCGCAAGTTGCAAGGTTCCCTTCAAGGCGAATCAACGTTCGGATGGCGAGTGCAAATCTCAATCTATTCACATTCCAAGTGCTTCCAAAGGACCCCCACTTAGCAAATAACCGTTGGAACAAGCTTTATCTACGAAATAGAGTAACTTGAGGGCAGCGAGTTCGACTGTATATTCCGAACGTCCAGGGTTCAAGTCGAAGCCATAGTCTCTCGCAATGAGCGTAAACGAGAACAAACTGCGCTGGGGGATTCAGTTGAAGGAGTGAGCAGCGTTCAACATGTAGCAGTGTACGGGACAGGCGCCCGAGACAAACTTTAAAGTGAATCGCGATCCAGATTGAGACTGTGCATCGTTATCAATTCACATGAGTGTGTGAAAATGACCTCTTCGAAACATTGCTATACTTGACCGCATCAGTAGAAGGAAATCAAAAGCTATAAACATCATAATTGAGGCGAAGAAGATAAGTGCTCTGTCTTAGGTTTGGGCATCTGGATAAGGCCGTGGCGACCACGCCCGGTCATGGTGACTAGTAACGTTGGGAAGCGCTAAACATTCACCCGCGATCGTAAGCAAGCCCTCACGAAACCGTACTGAACACTACTTGATACAGTATCATCGAACGCACATCATCCGCTCATTACACGGACCAAAGAGAATTTCTCCCGCTCTGCTGAGCTTGGCAGATAAGCGCTTGTGCATGGCTTGGATGATCTATTAGTAGAACCGTTGGAATAGGAAACTGCCCCAACCGATCAGAGCTGCTACACTATAGTGCCGCTTTTTAAGGGAGGCTCACGTTGGGAATACGTCAGTCAGAGGACTATCTGTCTGGTCTCCAAGGTCACAAAGTCACCTGCCTCGGTGCTTCTAAATAGACTCATTGATGAAGATGAAGCTGGGTTTCATCGAGGTCAAAGATGTATTGACGACATCTTCACCTGAAGTCAGTTCCTGGAGCAAAGTAACATTTAATAATGACGCACTCGTGCTTTCGAGTTAGTGAGTCGACGTGCACTTTAAGGGTGTCTGTTCAGGAAAAGGGCGCCTGGAATATATTTAAACATTATAAGAACGCTCTACGCGCATAGTTCGAGCAATGATGGCTAATAGCAAACGGTTACCGTCCTGCAATATCCCCGGCGGTGTGACATAAGGGTGCCCGCTTCTATTTTTAACTTCAGTACTGATGTTAGTATGGAAACACCATTCAATGGACTGGATTTAAAAGGTGTAGTGCTGCTTCTAGGTGTTCAATTTCTGAGGTTGTAGCAGTCTGACTTTAACTTGAGATACCTCGTGAACGTGCCCAGCAGCAAAGAGAGAGTAACGCTGACTGTCAATTGTTTCAGATAATGGTTTTTAAGTAACAAACTTGGGTCAAGAGAAACGAATAGACGAGTCAGTGCAAGGTAAAAAGGAGAGAATGAAAGCAAATATCAACAATATGGGCTATACGGCACATCCCTAATAAGAGTAACAGTCTCAAACTAGATGAATTCATGGAGAAGTGGGGGAAAAAGCGCGGGCTAAAAATACATAAAGCTATGGAAATGAAGGTTTACCAGTGTGATAGGACGTAACCAGTATTGGATATCCATACGGAGACTCAAAGAGCACGTGAGGCAGAGGGCTGTTAAGTTTTACCAGGCGCCGAGTTTTTCAAGAGAACTTAAGCAGAGGGCATACACTCTGCTCCTGAGACGTCGGTAGGTTGAACGATTTAACCCCTACATATCTATTGTTGAAAAATTTCTCCAGAGTTAGTGAATCATGTTCACATTGTAGGGCGTGGTGACTAGAATTCCAAACCCACCTACGTATTCAAAGCACTACTCACTGTTTGAACTCAGTAAATGAAGTGTAAGCACGTTGAATGGACGGAACAATGAACACGCGACCAAATTGTACGGAAACGCCCAAATAACGCATAAACAGGGACAAGGAACCCATGGAGAGTGGAAAAACTGCTCCGAGGTTGTTATTGCATGAAAAATCAAGTATAAACTATCCCCCGTCCCAAACACGGATAACAGCAGTCGAGTGTGTAGCACAATTTTGTAAACAAGAAGCAGGCATGCCTGTTGTTTAGTCGTGGAGATCAATTAGGACTAGCTGTGTGTGTGCAGATTTGTAATGGGAGCGAAGACACTGTTGAAGCGGTGAGGATACAGGTAATCAAGCAATCCAGGGGTGTCAAAATACCTGAAGCATCGTTTCTAGTGCACTAGCTGACAACTGATCTTGATTACTGATGGACTGGTAGTTATCAGCACAATTTACAGTAGTTCGTCTCCGCATACTCTTAACTGGAGCATCATCACTGCATTTCAACCAAAACTCCCCAATGAAGCCATTGCGTAGCGCTCTATCACTGCTCAATAAATTTCATTCAGAAACTATAAAGGATACACTGATGAAACAGGGATGCTATTGGGTTTTGACCTAGCCCTTTCCAGATGGTCTGTTAGAAATGCTTTTAGACTAGAAAATGGACAAAATCGTTAGGGTGGCTAGACTAAACAGAGACAAAATATAGTGACTCTTCGAGAGACGCTAGCAGGATAACAATTGAAACACGCGGACCTAGATTTAGATGATTGAGAATGTGGATTTTTAAGGAGCTGATGAGCCATGTGACATAATTATGGAAACGAAAGCTAACTAATGACAATTTTACCAATGTGTAGCCCTATTATAAATAACGACCATAGCAATGAGGACAGTCTTAGTGGGGGGCAGCGAACCAGCCAGTTTTCAAGCCGACTCGAATCTCCCTACCGAACACAACAAGATTCATAGTTCGAAGTGAGAGAGACTACACCATTTCCCGGCCAAGTTATCCTCTTGGGCAACAGAAATAATCTGAGGGGGTATTCAACATGAGTCTACTCAATTAATTTGTTCCGAGCGTAGGAGCTGAAGCATCCCATCTGCACACCTATGACTTAGTGCGTCTGAGGTCCAATTGGCTGAAGGCGACGGGCTCTACACGCACACATATACATCTGCACAAGTGACTGGCGTACGCACGGAACAAAATAATCGAGTAGACTCATGTTGAATGCCCCTCCGATTATTTCGGTTGCGCAAGAGGACAACTTGGCCGGGAAATGGTAGAGTCGGAGGGGTCACAGCGTGGCTAGGAACCAACGGCATGGGAACGCTAACCCGTAGTAGGGGAGCCATATGCTCGATATACCATGCCTCGAAATATACAGCCTCATTTGCGACCAAAGCATTGCGTAACCACATCGGGCGTCACAGAGTCGATGATGAATAGCTCAAAGAATAATCCGATTGGTTTACAAATACTATCAAAAAAGAGCGCCATTCACGAAATTCATTTCAACTGGTGACAAACAGCGAACGGGGAACGCAGTATTCTTGCAACAAAACATGAAAATAAACTACCGGAGTGTGGGGAATGAATCAGTCGGGGGTAGAGCGGGAACGCATCGTACAAACAAATCACGCATATGGGAGGAGAATTAAATACAGCGCTTCACTGTACCAAACACCACCGTATGGGTACGTTTGACAGATAGTAAAATAAGGGAAGAAAGAAAACTCAAACGGAGTGTCATCGAGTTTTAAGGCACTCGCTAGTCGCAGAAAGACTGCGCTTAAGTGTGCCTGCTGAACAGGTACAAGTGAAAGTGTTCGGGAAGTTAAAATCGCAGTAGAAAAGGGCATCCACAAAATGGGTATCACAGATTGCCACAGAAGGAGGTCGGATGCATGATATGTATCTTTCCCGGATGTGAGAGATTGTGAGGTAAGAAGGGCGTTCGAAGCAGTCCGATACCAGTAAACAGTTTGCACTTCGAAGCTGACTGTATAGAAATAAACTATGCAATGAAAAAGAAACAAAGAAAAAGCGCGTTCAAAGTCACAATTAAGGCACCGCTTTGTCCATTGAGGGCATGAAAGGCTTGCGATTGAATTTCCACTTTTGTTTAGCTGATTGATCGCAGTACGCAATCAGTAGCGATTTTGTGTCTTCGGAAATCTCCAAGCAGCGTTCGCCATGTTTAAGCTCGTCATCCTATGGAGACAAAAAAGATTATCGAAGGATTTAGAGACGAGAAAAAGAGAGCATATGGATCCAGTGAAATACCCCAGAGAACATTTGTGAACTGCATTAGATCAAACAGCCAAATAAAATTGCAGACTGTCTTGAGGTCACGGATGAGGAGATGTGTGTAGTACAAACTATTTTGACAGTGGCAACACACGCAGCCCAAGAAACGCCTTGATGACTCTGATCGTTAGCCGCAAATCCTTTCATGTGGTGACCAAGCAAACATATTTAGCCAATTTCCGATCATTTCTTCGACTTAGACCAATTCCCTGTAAACTTTTGTTAATTTTCATTGTTTGCTCGAGAAAATCAACGGCACTGGAACCAAGGTACTTTAGTGCCAGAACTCTGGCTAAACAAAAGCAGTGTTTTGTGCCAGTTGTTTGGCCTGAATACCGCGCCAGCTAACAAAACTGTGCACCAAATAGCAGACAGCCTGAACCAATTTTCATAGTCCCATGAATAGAACAATGTAGCGATCAAAGCAGACATAACGCTACGCGCGACCATTCAATCATAAAGCCTCTGGAAATCGTTTCGGACTGTGCGTGAGGTTATAAGAGTTATGCAAGCGGAGTCAACAACACGCGAAGTACTGAGTTACAAGCTAGTGACGGAAAGCTGAGCCAGATTATGCAGTGACTCGTTGTGACAGATGGATTGTAGCTGCACGAACATAGTGCGCTGCCATATGCGTGATGGCCATTTTCAAATGATATTTAAGGTCTGCATGAGGAATGATGAAAAGATGCTTACTCCCCTTCTACGTTGCCAACACGACTAGTGGATGCAGAACGTGAATGAGTACATGACACTTGTGATTCCAACACCGTAGCAGTAACGACCCGCTTAACGTCCTCTGTGTGTGCGTGTGTGTGCCTGGTTCGCGTGGCTCCCCCCATTGGGGTGGTTAGTTATATCGAAGCTGTGCTAGAGAGAATGCGAGCACGTACTCGTTCCGTTGCCATAGATGTGAAGCACCGTGAGCAAAACGACCTAACTAAGAGAAATGCGTGCGCGACGAGTGTGCGCTCCCTGCGATGAATACGTGGCTCGTACCCACGGATCATCCCACATTAGCCTTCCGATGCACAACAATGTGGCGTGCGGATGGTGTAGTAGAGGCAATAGCTCGAATCCACTAGGGTTAGTCTGTAAGCGCAAGTGTCCTAGGGATGTTCGCCGTCAAAGTGACGCGCAACATGGGAAAAAGATACCGTGAGCTGTATAAATAGGGGGAATTCAGTTAGTTCGATAGGTGAGCAGAAGAGGCTCGCGTGACATGGCGCCCACGAGAAAAGCGAAGAACGGTGGTTCTGTCGTTTCGGGACTCGTCAACTGCCCGAATCCATGACCGAATCTCTCTAAGTGGACGACAAGGCAACTGAGAACGGTGGATGCTGACGATTAACGGAGTAACCAACCCTATGATGCAATGAATTTGGTAGCTGTGTATGAGCATAGATTGGTTAGCGGAGCGTATTATTGACTGTACACACAATTTGAAAGGATTGACTTCTACAACAAACATTGAAAAAGCGTGCAGGAGTGGGAAGGAATTTCTCGAGTGTAGTCCAATGCTAGGCTAGAGGAAACGGCCGCTAGAAGCTCACAAATGTGAGGGGCAGTAGACTCCTATTCACTAGTGTTATAAGTTCTGAGGACATAACTGTAACAGAAAACTCCAACTGGAAGCACAACATAACGTGTGGAATTCTGCAAATATGGAAAGCCGATCTGCTTAAACACCCGGTAGTGTTAAACAGTCTCCGTTAACGAGTCATCATACTTAAATGCTTGAACGAAGTGAGTAGAAAGCTTAAGAGTACAGCGAGTGTTTCGAAGCACAGTAGATAATGCGAGAATAAGGATGGTTAAATTTGTCGAGACGGAATTTTAGTGATGAAGGCTAGTGACCGAAAGTAAGAGAAGATTAAGGGGAAAGGTCAGAAAAAAGTGTGCAGCCTTGAACATAGTGTGAAGACCTAAAAGGATTACAGGAGGAGAAGCGTTCGAATGCTAGGCAATAACATTCATATGGTTATGAGGGGGATGCATAAGTGTATAAGAAACAGCCTATGACAACGGTCAGTGCTCCGTCGTCACAGAAACGTATTTAGTCGAAAAGTGAAGCGAGCAAATGACAGAGTGCTTACCGAAGTGTAGATGAAATACTGATTTCCTTTGCTTCCGTGACAGTCCAGAAGCGTAACATGGCCAGGTTCAGGACCAACATCCCAGCATTTTGTGTCCCTACGTATCTCTCCACCGGGCGACATGAGCCAAAACTGATGAAGAGGGGGCAAAGTGAATGGAAGAATAAACGCTGGAGCGAAGGCAATCCACGAGGAGTTGAGAGGAAGGAAACAGACCAAACTATTGGGCACGTAAAGCAACGACCGAGGGGAAGAGGCGTGGAACAAAAGCAATAGTCAAGCACGTAGCGAATCAAGAAGTTGAGAAATGTTAGCGAAACATATGCAACACGCTGTCGTGAACTGAGAGAGCATGGAAAAAGAGAAATGGGAGTAATTAATGTGCCCATAAAATAAATGAAGGCAACAGATGCATTAGGTCCAGAGCGTTAATCCGTGCAGCAATACTCTGGGATGGTGTATCGGAAATCGACAAGTGCCCAATGTCGAAGCAATCACAAGTGGAACCGAACGAAAGCTTCAACCGGCAAAATAGCAGAATGGTCCGTGAGAAAAGGGCGGTATTAACTGCACAGTAAATGCAGATAGTATGGCTTGGGAAGGAAAATATGAACCCCACCTGAACCGTGGCACTAAACAAGGCACGGCCAACAAACGGCATCCTGCTCGCGTACACTAATCGACACTAAGTGCAAGAGGACGACATAGTGGGCACTACCATAGAGGATACAGAAAGGCAGAGAAAAAGACCATTAGGGCTACTTTACAGATAAAAATAGGTAAGTAAACATGAAAAACAACTAACTCATGTTCGAGAAATGCGCAGCCGTTTTCATTGTTCCTCAGCTATCCACTTCTCATGCGGACCAGAAAAGGATAAGATATGAAACTATTAGCCACATACCACATCCCATCGAGTATCTTAATGCTAAAAGCAGTATATCGAATCAGACAATAGGCGAAGTTCGCTACAACTTTATCCTTTCCAGGAACTGAAATATGTTGTCTCCAAACACGCATACATGAGAGGAACGTTCTGCATTAGTTTGTCAGACCCGGTTCCAATGACGCCGTCTCACATCCTTCGGGTATCTAGTGATACTGTATCCACGGCATTCACTGTGTGTCAGAATCATTTGCAGTAGATGGATAGAATATTTTTCTCAAAAGGATCACAGCAAGCAACTGCATTTGTACAATTCGAAATCGTAGTAGTGGACAAAAGTGCTGTTCAGTTGGTTCAGCTTATGTTCCTATTGATTGTCCCAGCAGTCGAATTTTGTAAGCAACGCTTCTCCCCTGTCCGAATGACCAGGAATGACGAAAACCATGACCGTTGCGGGCAGTTGAATGTTCGAGTAGGTCACTTGTCAAAAGCAGAACATCGCTTCGAAAATCAATTTAGTACTAATGCTAGTTTCAAGGAAAACGAAAACCGCTTTCTTTAGCAGTCCGACAAGAGTATGAAAGTGCAACTTCCAAGCACAAGTGTTCACATCGAATTACATAACGGGACCAGCATTGATCGCACACTATCAGCTACAAGTGATGTATGTCAATAAAGGAGGTTGAGCAAGCTGGAACACATGTTAAGATCTTGCGCAAATTTTCATGGTCACCTGTAAAACACCCACCTCCTCAGCTTAGTGAGATGAACCACTTTGAAGACATAAGATAAGCTGTGGTGCAAGATCAATTGGTGAGCTGATCGAGTCAGAATCGCAGTCGCCGAGGTATGTAGAGGGTGCGCGGATAATCTCGTCCGCCCTATTTATTGTGCTTGAACTGTGGATGGAGATCTGAGGCCTAATAAATGTGGATCACGCATGCACGGCGATTTCTTTGGAAAGTCATTATTTACTACGCCACAAAACAACATACGATCGGATATTCAAAAACTGACTGGGGGCGTTGGTGGATGGTAATAGTCAGTGAGATGGAGAAGACTATCGTCATATCGCAAAATAGTCGGGAGACATTTTTGCGTACCAGCGTAGTGCTAGGCTCATTTAAACTGCTTCCAGTGTCCACATACATATGATCTGAGGGTCCAAACGTACGAGTGAGGATCCAACCAGTGGAAGTTAGGTTGTCCTTCATCTAAGCGAAAACTGTAGTGAGTACATTTTTGCTTATCGCCAGGAGTTAACACCCTTCACGTTTAATGCCGTCTGCGGTACAAAAGCTCAGATGTTCATGATGCTTGTGATTCAGTTGGCCGACCCTGTTTGCGAAAATGCCTACTTTTGAAGAATTCGCTAGAAGTTACTCCCCATTGTAAACGCAACATATTGTGACGCCAGAAGCCGTGTAAAGGGCAAAACAAACTCGCTAAAAAACAATTCTGCGTCATAATACACTAGTAACTCATTTCGGTCACAGGTATAAAAATAGGCGAAGTACCAACTTTCCAGATAAGTGAGAAAAATTACCATAGACGAGAAACCGGGCTATGAATGATTGGTGAGCACATGCTCTCTTTAGGTAGGCAGTAAAATGCCGCGTTTGATTTAACGGTCTCACAGCAGATCAGGCAGATAATAAGCAGTAATAGCCAATGGTACATTGCAAATATAAAGGCAGAGGTCACAAACCACAGCGAGGAACATACAGACAGATAGACATCATAGATTCCGCAAGGATTGGCTATTAAAACTTCGATCCAAACAAAACGTATGGTTGCCATTCGGTACACATTAAAAGAGTGGTAGCCAAGAGCAAACGTTCGTAAAGAAAACAAAAAAATCACAAGATGAAAATATGCAAACCAGATAGGATCATGTTCCTAAGAAGGTCCAGACAAAAGTGTTGCAGAGAACAACCATACCAATGGAGAATCACAATGCCGAAGTACAAGTGGCGCCAAAGGTGTGATGAAAGAGGGTCATGTACGCCTGGGAATATTGTGGTTTCCATTACATCTTATCGAGCTACATTGCGTGATAAAACCAAAACCGTTTTGAAGTTATTTTTGTGAAAAAGCGTCGCAAAATTTCACCGATGCTCTATCTTTACCAGTAATGATAATATCTTAACCTGAAGTAGACGGGCAAGAAAGACGGGTTTACCTTAAAAGGCAACATATCGGAGAAAGGTTTCTACACACATTCGTTTAAAACAACCACATTAACTCCATAAATAGTGGTATAAGTCAGACTAGTCATTTACAGCTGTGTTGAGGTAGTGTGCGATCAATACCATAATGCGTTTGAAGGGACAACGATCCCACAAGTTAGATGATCCGGTCGAATAAGAGATCACACAAGTAAACTCGAGATGGATCGCATGTCAATTCCACTATAATCTTGCGTCACCATATGCGTTGGCCACAAATACAGAAAAAAGGAACGTAAAGATTTAACACATTCGACAGTGGCTTCATCTCATGCAATGAAATTCACGGCTCGGATCGCGAAACCTGCGTCAGGCGAAATTTCCTGGATCAATGAATTGCCATGCACAGCAAAAAGCAGAGGGACAGCTGGCAGGTCAACATAGTTCGTTAATGATTGATATCAGATAAAAGATTCTTAAACGAAATAACTGGCTTAGAGAATAGCAAAAATCCCTAGCAACAGTCGCTTGTCAGACATTGGTAAACACAGATGCTGAGACAACTGACCTATTTGAACCAAAACCCCTAAGCATCACAGTCTGAATCAAGACCATAGTTTGCATACATTATCACAAAATCAGAGTGGAAGGTTATCCCACAGCCTGAAGAGGCGCGAAATCCGTCTGTTCTCAATCTCGGGAAAAGTACACCGGCTCCTGCTTCACAACATTTGGCGCTGCCGCACCATCTGATGAGAAACACAGCGATTGGCTCCATAAATCGGTACAAGTAGACATATCGTCCCACGTACTTTATCACTCCTATTTTAGAAGCACATTCTGCGAGTACACAAGTGGTGTGTGAGCTCGAATTCGGTGGTCCACAGTGTGCTTGAAAGAATATGCATGATGGTAACTAGCTTCTGCACAGGATGAGATATAGGGGTATTTTCAATGATCAGCACAAAAATCTCTACACATACACATAACGCAAAGCACAACAGACAGATGGGACAAAAAGAGGCACACATTGCGTCGCGCATAAGTTGTGTGGATCTCGTGTGTGTTACAAAGAGGCCCAAGGTACGGGTAAGCTGAAACCGCGAGTCTGAATCAACCGATCGTCGAGAGTAAGTAGGTGACACTTTTGTGCTCCAATGGAGGTGGGTGATGGAGTTCAAACATAGGTGCACTGTTTGGCTCAATTCTAGCACACATTCATGCGTACAAAAACGTAGAAGGGAATGGGAAAAATTGACGCAACACCATGCGTTCTATGGAGAAGCTGGATTTCACATATCCACTGCAAACCAATTTTGTTGTGAGACACAGCATGCATTTGTCCCAGGTAGACTTGCACTGTTCGGAATACGAGGTCCTGATTCAGAGAAACCTACTTCGTTAGGATTATGCGGACATCAGACGAATAAATGGGACTGACCAGATGAGAAAGTTGTCAGTTACGTAGTTGTCTTCTTTCGTCAATCAGTTTAAAGTCTCAAAATGTGAAGTGCTAAAAAAGGATCAGCATCCGCTTATTCCACATGTGGCTGTTGCGATGTTTGGAGCTCATTTGGCAAGGGTCGTCTCGATTTACACATTAGATCTAGGATGGCATGTAGCAGCGTGAGGGATGGAAACATACACGGACAGTGAAGCCAGTGACCGTTAGAATGGGTGCTGTTCGTCCACAAAGACTACCAAAATTGTGGCCAATACATCAAACAAGAGGTCGAGACAGTATAGTCGATACACCACAGCTGCTATCCATGGCGTGCTTGCTTTCCACCTATATTCGGACTGTTTGTCAATAACGCGGAGTTATCAGCTGTTTGCGATCGTATGTTGTTAGTTCAAATTAGACGAGGTGAACGTGAATGTCTCTTTAGGGCACTGGCATACCACACTAAGTTCTATTCTCTCATCTTATTATTCGACATCAGTAGAGTCTTCCTTCGGTTATTTAGTGCAAACAAGCAAAAACCTAGTACAGAGTGCTGCCGCTGTTGATAACGGATACGGCTACGATGATGATGAGGAGGAAGACGGTGAGACTGAAACTTCTGCTGGTGATCCGAGGAGACTGACGGATAGCTGCTGACTAAAAGACACAAGAACCCAGTGCGTAACTGCTCACTGTGAGGCAGAAAGGACAGACTGCAGATTCATAACGATAAAGAGCCACAACTGGCTTCATAATAGAAGAAAACAAAACAAACAGAACCGCGCAGATTGGGGAACGAGTGACCGTGATCGTTGGATGTGGCATACCAAAACGATTGGTGCACAATCGCATGGACAAGAGCGTGTATGTGTTTGAAACCAAGCTAGTGCACTGCAAGATGGTGCAAGCGGATGGTAAGAGATGGGTTTGTCGGAAAACTCGATCCTTCAAGAACAAACGGTGTATCGGTGGAAACCCAAACAGCGGAATAATACAACATAGCTCGTTTTCACACAACACAATCATGCATATGGTCCAACCAGTGACATTACTAAACACGAAGCTCCACCAATAGGGCTTCCTCTTTACTCCAGCTAAACAGTAGTCGGCAGCCGTCATCAAATCAGCAGAGCTTGGTACTGCCAAATAGCTGAGGTCGCTCGGTTCACATCTGGTTTGCTGTCTCATAGGTCTCGCTGGTATGCCCGCTCCATCCGATACACTACTTCCATCACAGGCTTGGCGGGTTGAGCTACGTGTGCACAACGGAGGCATTCGCCGATTCCTGGCTCGCATTCCGTTAACTCAATGCTTTGCACTGTCAGCTATGTGAGTGGCTGGTATGTGTAAGTGCTGATAGAAAGAGAACGTGAGCGATTCATACGTTAAGCGGCGGACAACATTTTAACGTTGACCTCACAACCCATATTGTCCTCAGAGCCAGAAACGCAGCCGACGATGACGTCGTACTAGTCACAAGAATACAGTAAAGAATTACCACAATACCATGCGTACTATGAAGAAGCTGGATTTGTGCATCGGGGCGGTGGCAAGTGAACATATTTCGTCCGTATAACACGAACTGGGTCGATAATGTGTCGTGACGTGTCTAAAGTTTAGAGGTTGAAGAGACTAGAGTTATTGCAGCGAGCAACAACAGATTACCACCCTGGTCCTAACGACTTCAGAATAACACATCTGTCCGATGAAATTAGAATCGATATGCCTTGACGCACATGTGATGGCGCCCAATCTAAGAGAAAGCCTGAGGTTGGGTAATAAGCGATCAGTTTTCCCTCGGCGCGTAGTTGGGCCTAATGAGGAATTTAAAAGATTAAAATACCGACAAATGAGTGGAATGCTGTTTGCCGCAACACATGCAACCGAGTCCTTCTTAGGTGAATAAGACTGCAGTTAAAGCGAATGTGAGACACTGGATACCGTTGTGTGGTGCAGGTACAAAAACGAATCCCTGGGAATCACACAAAAGTAAACCGTTTAGGATTAAAGGAATGAGGATCACTGTAGCAGAGGGCTAATGGCAAAGTGAGTTATTTTTAAACTGCTCTGACAAGTCAAACTAGGTGAAACAAGCAAGCGAAAGGACATGAAAACAGCTAACCTGATTTCCGCCTTGCCTGTGACAGGGCCACATTTTCACAGTGAGCTTCTCCCCATCATTAGCCTTGGTTGGGGCATCGATGCATTGGGGTCCGGTGTACGACTCGATCTGGCAATAAAAAGCAAATGGGGATTCAAACGAAAATGGATGAGCACCTCCAACTTCGAGGACGACGGTAAGAAACGACAGGGCAATCAAGGTTTAAGGTCGCGGGCGGTGTGACACGCGCAATGGGAGCATCAGCTGCATTAATTCGTTGTTTGCTTATCGAAGATGCATGAAGTAGATCGCCGACATTGTTCGTACCTATGGGACGCTTGATAAGTGATTGGGCAGGCGGGTGATTCGCTTGCGCCGTCAAAGTAACGGACTAAATGTACTTTCGGTGGAAATTCGTCACACCCAGACTCACTCAGACAGCCGCCACACGCCCGGAAAAGCACTGTACGCGCGTTTCATCCTTACGGGAATCGTCAGCAGTGTGGATTCCATCGGGCCCTGTAAATGTACTTTCCTAGCTCACATGTTGCTGTGCTAAATAGCACAAAGATAATAGCGCCGAGGATGAATGGGGGCAACACAGGAGTCAAACGTTGTCGTTGAACGCTAACAACAAAATGACAGTGCTAGAGGTGGTTCAGTAGTAATTCACTACAGCTGTCAATGGTAACGACAAGCTTGCTTGCAATCATGACAATCAACGAAAACAACAACAACTGTATTGATCGAAACAATTTCAACATGTGAGAACGCAGAGCAATACCTACAGTAGTGAGTTGATTCAACGTCCGTCAAGTATACACCATGAAACAATGAAAAGTATTTGCAAGCGCAAAAGCAAGTGACTGCACTTCAAGTGCCTTGAGTCGGAAGGAGGCGTTTGTCGATCACGCTGAAAAATCTAGATAGCCCATTAGGAATGTGAAATGAAAGAACGGACAACCCTTGAGTGTGAATGCGCATTTAAATGAATAAAGACGAGAAGCTGTGTAGAGAAAACAGCTTCAGAAAATTTAAGACGGTATGCTAACATATCCTAACTCGTATGGAGATCGGCTGTTATGATTAGTGAATTGTAAACACGGTGCTTTGTGTATGCAAGTAAGAGACGTGGGCTCAGACCCTCAGCATCTGAGCCAAAATAAACTATGGGAGCCGCGGGCATCATCCTTAATTAAATGAATACGCTGAGGATCAGTTCTTCATTGAAAATGAAATACAACACAGACCATCAGACGTTGATCATCGGAAAGTATATTAGTAAACTATACTTGTACCGGACATTGGGCCTGTAAATCGCAAGACACCTAAAAGGACATGGATTGCGCAAGAGCGCAGTGTTAACCGCGCCATCTAGAAGGCGAAGGCACACATACGTTTGTGTGCTATTGCTTTAAGCAGGCAAATCTAAGCGTAGATTCATTCATGTGGAAGGAAGAGGATACGTGGTGCAGCATATCAGGCGTCTGAGGTGGACCGTCTACGCACCAGCGACTGCAGCTACGCACTGACGGAAAACCACACCTCCTCAAAGCGTTAGAAGTAGTGTGCAATCGCTCGGCACGTGCGCAACTGGTCGTCTCTCGTCATGAGCAGAACAGCGTTTAGAGATTCCTTTAGTACACAACAGGGAATAATGAGAACCAACATGGCAGATATATTCAGTCATTGGATCAGTAATCCCTTACTACATTCCATGCTAAACTTTGCAAGCGCAGTTCCTACCTGGGTGGTTAGCTATCAAGCAGACAGAATAGGTCCAGAGCACTGCTGTCATACTCAACCGTGAAAAATGACGAGTTACGATGCAATGATGTCACTCGCCCATCTAGATTACTAAGTTGTATACAGCCAGTGAACAACATAAAACAACTGACTTTCCATAGCGATTGGCAGGGGGCCATCATGAATGCGCGCATGCCCAACAAGAAGACGTGCTAGTAGATCACCCATAGAATTCGGAAAGCCACTACAAAAGCACTGTCCAGCGTCAAGTGAGACAGCGAAATGAATAGTTAAGTCAATATAAGCTTTATATACCCGAGAGGGTACATGTTTAGAATTTTGCGATAACCACTGCGGATGCTTTAAAGCAACATCACGAAAAAAGTAAACGTTACAACTGGAAATGGCATTCGGAATGAAAGTGCCACTTAAATAAATGATCTTGTATCTGAAGCCTGTAAATTGTACAGTGTCGAAGACTAGTTGATCGAACCGGACGAGGGTTTCTTCAGTTGCAAAACGCCGTTTGATAACATCGCGCGATACGCGCAGTATCACAAAGTCCATTTTCGAAAATTGGCGAAGGACAGTTTTAGTGACGTAGCTAGTTTAACGGACGAAAATGTCAAAAGCAATGGAAACTGGTAAATCCACAAAGATAAAGTAAGGTCAATGTTTCTGTGAAAAGGCAACTGACGATATAGGAAAGGGGCGCGTAAAAACTTGACCGAGTGCTTGAGTGCGTGGGCAGACACCATGTTTTCGGATGCGATTCTCGGGATCAGTCGCTGCAATTGTTTGAGATGCCATTCAACATGGCGTAGCCGAGGCTTTATCGGTGATTCTGCATTAGCTATTGCGCCTAGTTAAAAACCATTTCGTGCAGGGCATCTGATTAGCATGTTCACTTCGATTTTCACCTATTCCCACAACCGTCGTCTAACAACAAGCACCATGGCGACGTGAGTTATAGAAATGTGATACACTCAGCTTTGTGCGCAGATCAGAGAGGGTAAATTGGACTAAACCAGAGTGAAATTCGTACCAGAAGGGCAGTCTTGCGAAAGCGGAGCAAAGTATAGTTAATGCGACAATCAGCAAAGTGCTGGATTCTAGTCGTGGATTCTACGAGGGTAGTAGTCTGTATATATATATATATATATATATATATATATATATATATATATTTCTGCTTTTTTGTCTGTTTAATGTTTGCGAGGTAAATCAAGACAAACATTTGTATACCTTTTCCATTGGGCCCGGTTCTGCGTCATCTCCGAAAGAGTTTCCAGCCAGCAGTGTTCTTCATCTTTGATCCCCCAGCCCGGAAGACGCACGGGACCTACGACAGCTAAACTGGAAGTCAGCGCTTTAATCGTTTGTCGCCACGTGATAGGCTGACCACCGCGCGATTTCTTCCAGCCTGGTCCTGTGCGAGCGAAGAGAGCGCGTCGGGGCAGCCGTTCGCATGGCATGCGTAAAACCTGGCCCAGCGATCTCAGTTGGCACAGCGGTACTAGTCTGTCAAGTGTAAGTCCCGTGTTACCCAAGACGCGACGCCTAACATTATTGTTGCGCACGTGGTTCATCCACCACACTCGAACTATTCTCCGCAGACATCCATTGTCAAAGGCCGAAATCCGACGCAAGTCATTCACACGAATCGGCCAGGACTCACTCCCATACAGCAGCACCGCGCGAACGCATGCATTGTAGACCATACCCTTTACCAATAGTGGAACGTCACGGCGTCGCCACAGACGCATCAAGTTGGCGAATGCAGAACGGGTTTTGGAAATGTGAAGGGAAATCTCTTTTCCAATGCTACCATCAGCAGAGACAGATTCCCAGGTACAAAAAGTTGTCCACTTGTTCAGGCTGGGTACCTAGAAGTGTGAGCCCTGGGGCAGGTGGATGCCAATCCAGGAGCAAGAGTTTGCATTTCGCAGGGGCTAAGGTCATTCCATATTTTGATGCTTTAATCGCCAAGCGGTTTAGAACGGCTTATGTGCTCTGTGAGTCATCACCAAGCAAGGCAATATCATAAACATAATCAAGTGCTGTCGCCAAGTAGAAGGCTGACCACCACACGGTCACTTCTTGCCTAGTGTTGCACGAGCGAATAGAGTGCGGTGCTGTCAAGGTTCATGCGCCATGTGTAGGGCGTGACTGAGCCATCTCAAATAGCGCAGCAAAACCAACTCGTTGAAGGGAATACTCGTATTTGCCAACACGCGATGTCGAACGTCATCACTGTGAACCAGATGCTGCTATCACATACGAGTGATTCTCCTCAAACTACAGTTGTCGAAGACAGATAGACAACGCATGTGTTCCAAGCGAATTCACCAGGACTCGTACCCATACTGAACGAACAGAGAGACTGTAAACACGACCCTTTATCGAGATTGAGACTTCACGACAGTGTCACAAGTGCCTCAGATTGACAAATGCTGGTCGGGCTTTAGCGATGAGAACAGAATGTTCCTCGCTGATGGTGCCGCCAGCAGAAACAGCCCCATGCATTTTCACATGGTGACTACTCACTGTAAACAAAAGAAGCTTCCAATTGTAACCCTACTTTAGGACGTGTGTAAACAGACAGCGGATGGATAATAGATAAGTAACAAGCTCTTTTCAGTACAATACTCATTAGGCTACTTGACTGAATATTCCGCTAAAACAACTCTAACAAATGAGGCGCGATATGACGGTGTCACCCTTGAAAGGAACATGTTCATGCCTGACGGTATTTGAGCTGACATGTGCGGTTAAGAATGAGAAGAGTGACAGTATGGACAAAATATTTATTCTACTTACTGTGGAATGTCCTGACGCTCTCTCGAAGGTGACCGTTTAGTTTTTTCTAGCTTGAACATTCATAGTACAAACCTTATGGGTACAGATCACTTTGGTCGAGTCCCCTGAACGGTCAACAGACGGAGATTTTCAGCGGGTATACAAACAACGGATTCCATTGTACGGCCTGGGCGGGATGTAGCCCCTCCGTGGATAGACAACAGTCGCAGTTCAAGCACAACGGGATGTGAGTTGGGGCAAAACAGAAAAGAGGGACTGAGAGACTTACATCACCGGAGGCGACAGCATTTGACGGAACAAAGAGCTCCGGGTAGACATTATCCAAATACCACTTGAAGGATTTACAACCGAGCCTTTTGCGAATGGCTATTCGATCAGACACATCACCATAATCGCCCTAAATAAAGAGAAATGGGAGTGGGGAAGAACAAATGGATACTGGGGGAGTAACCTCGAAGTAGTGACACTGTTGAGTTGGGATTGGGTTCACAATGAAAAAATGAGAAGGCATCAGCCTTAAACCAGTACTGAGTACAAATGCATAGCCAGCCAGACGATCACCGCCAGTCACGTGCGGGCTACGGACATGGAGTGATCGTCCGCACCTGCGCAGACTCGAATTTGTGACCCCTGGGATTACGAGCCAGATGCGTTATTCACTCGGCACGCAATCAACAGGCAGACTGACGGACCTCAAGGCCAGTCGATCAGGTCAGGTAATGTTGCGTGCAGCGATCACGCTCACCTGGCCACGATCGATAGGGTATGCGACGTGTCGGTTGCACTGTACCGCGCATTAACCGCGCCGCGTCGAATGATAGAAGATGGACCTGATCGCCTGACACGAACACATCTTCGATATTTCGCAACCAACAGATGGAATAATTCCCACCTAAACCATCCGAATTCGTCCCACTCACTGTCAAACACAGTAATGAATGAATGTTAAAAGCTGACGAGAATGAGCAAACAAGATGCGGACCGGCTGTTAGTTGGCAGATGAGAAAGGTTTGGCATATAGAAGTATCGTTTCGATTAATAGTGGGGATACAGCTGAACAGTCACGGAGTATATAAAGCGGCCGTAGCCCGTCCAGACGCTCAGTTTGAATGCCGCTTGTGTGACGGTTCATGTGAAATATACCAAAAGTGCAGTAGCGAAAGATGCACTTCAAAAGGCAGAGAATGGAGCCAAACAAACAGCTGTAAATCAGAAACGCATTGTTATGTGTTCAAACGAGTAAAAATGACTAGTGCAGTAATCGGTGCACACCGGGATTTGCAAAAGTAAAGCCCCTATTTACGCAAAACGCTCACTAAAGTATCTACCATAAAAGCGGGAGGGACAGTCACGATGGTAGATTGGAACTAGTGGGAGTGTCAGAGCATGACAGGTGAAATGCAACAAGCACAAACAAACGGCGCAGTAGCTCAGTCGACTAGGAGAGGGGGTTATCCTGAGGCCCCGAAATGAACGAGATAGTTGCCAAGATCGAAGGGTGGATTTTCCGAGGAATTATTCATTGACAGCTGGGAGCAAACTGAGCCGAATTAGTCAGCGCAAACAGGAGACATAAATTACGATGCTAAAATTTCCCCTACTCTGCTCAGGTGCAAACGCAGTACATTTGAAAAATAACCTATTTACAAGTGGGAAGAAATCGCATGGGTAACACTGAACTGAAACATCATGACCACGACAATCTGATAGATTGCCTCAGTTCCTTTTGTGCGCACAACGCCGGCCGGTTCACCGCAATCAGTAGCGTTTCACTGATCGCCAGCTTCTTCGAGTTGCGGCTAATCAATAGCACTTCGAATGGTTTTGATTGGTCCACGTGATGGCCAGTCGTCGTGAGATGCTTTGTGATAGACGAGGCAGGGTTCCTGTACGTCGTTTGATCTATCTCTTCTTGTTTCACTATGGACCGTGTTAACCACTGAGGGAAATGCTCAGCTATCCTTTGAGCTAATCGGCGGTCGGTTCTGCCTATGTATACGTCACCGCAACTGCAGGTGAACTGGTAAATAACATGAGAGGCCTAACCGACTGGCGAGTAGCTCGGACGGTAGTTGAGAGTAAGCCTTCGTGTGGTATGGATGATGCGTAACTGCGCAGTGGTGTAAGTGCGCATGAGAGCAGACCTGAGCTTGTGACCAATGTCGTTTGAGACATGGTCCCCTTTGAAAGGCAAGAATAAATAAACAGTTTTTTTCTCAGCCGCTTGCACTAGTAACTTCTCCTTGGGTGGTCTGTTATGGAGTTGAATAAACTTCTCCGGATACCGGTTAGAGTTCTGAGTAGGAATTCCTCTTCACTCTTTAGCATCTCTGGGCTGCAAATGCGCCTGCATCGGGTTTTGACAAGACCCCGCTTGTACGCAACCGGGGCGAAGCTGGTAAAATGCAGGTATTGCCCGCTCCATGTCGCTTTGCGATAAACCGTGCGTTGGAGTGTACCTCCGGGTCGTCTTTTGATGAGGATATCCAAGGACGGTAGGCTGTCTTGCTGTTCCATCTCATACGACACAGAGTGACTGGGGTGAATCAAATTCAAAAGGACAACAATTCGGCGAACGTGCTCCTCACTGGTGAAGGTTAGGATGCCATCTACATAACGTTTATACAGCTTTGCTTCATCAATGGTGTTAACGATTTTGCGTTCAATCAGCCCAAGGAATATGTCCGCCAGAACCGGGCCCATAGGGCTTCCCATTGCCATCCCCTCGACCTGTCTGTACGCAGTTCCCTCAAACTCAAATCGAACATTCTCTGTGCAAATTAATATGAGATCGCTCAGGTACTCAGGAGGGAGTCCCAAAGATAGGTTCTGGCTCAAGAGAAAATTGTATAGCTCGTCGACTGTTTCACGTAGAGGCAAGTTCGTGAAAAGCGAATCCACGTAGACGTATATACAGCTCGACTTCATTAATGTGCATTCTTAATGAGTAATGCTCCAATTATGTCATAAAGACATATGCTAGAAGGGGTCCCAATGGTGATCCCATGGCAACTCCATCAATTGGACGATACATCTCCATCGAAGGTGAACTGCACGTTTAAGGTGCATCTGAGTAGCATTTCCTTGGAAAACTTCTGGGAGATTTATAGATACATTCGGTTGCCGCATTAGTTTGCAAAAATATTCCATTGTTTCCAATAACGGAATATTCGTAAACAATGACTAAGCGTCAAGTGATGACATCCCTTATCTTCTCAATGACATCGAAAGTGCCTTTCATGCAGTAAGTGCAGATGGTTTTACGCAGCGCTTCCAACTTCTCAGTCATCCATTGAGCGGTCAAATGTTGCGGAGAATTAAGCATGTGCCAGATAGGACCAATTGAAGCAACTACCTTGTGAACTTAAGGAAAGCCGTACAAACGTGGTAGATGTCCGACTGAAGATCTCAGTTTTTCGAATATGCATTTTGTGAAGACATCTGCATGTATCATTTGTCGGAGCAAATCGGTCAATTATCTTTCTAACTCTTCTGTACTGTTAGCTTTTGAAACATAGTTTCATCACTAAGAATATGTTGTATCTAACGGACGTAATCAGTCCTATCTATTAGAACTATACCAGAAGCTCTATTCCGCACTGAGATAATTAACTCTGGTTAACCATAACTCTCCAAGTGACTGTGTAGTGACCTGGAGATTCCCCCCGTATGACTGTGTAAACTATTCTAAAATATATTCAAATCATAGCTTGCTTATGTATTAGGGAATTAAGCGGTTTGCTTGTTGGAACGTTGTTCCCGTTGCTTGGAAACACGAACACGATCACCGCCTTTGGCGCGCGACTCGACTGCGAACGACGCCCCGTCTACGCTCTCGACGCCAACTACATTCTCCCTAGCTAGCTCTCTTCGGGTGCCCTATTTTTAGCATTAGCTAACGCTCCTCCCTAGCTTACTTTTGTGTGTTTTACCATTGCCTTTGGTTGGCCGTCTAGTCTCGTGCCGAATATATAGCGCACGATCATCGCGCTATAATTGGTGACCCCGAAAAAAAACTATTTTTGGTGAGTTCGGTACTAATATTACTTTTCAGATCCGGTAACTTATTCTGTCGACCCTGCTATTTTTACTTTTTACTACTTGCGTTCACATTCACACGCTCCGGAATTATTTCACCATGAAGGTCAGTCACCCAGATTCTGACGATCAGGTTAGTGGGTTCCGTTTCCCTATCCCGCCTTTCCGAGAGACTAACCCTAAGGCCTGGTTTAATCAGCTAGAATCCATTTTTTCGTTACATGGCGTTAAGTCTGACAGCGTCAAATTTCACTGCGTTGTCGCAGCGCTTCCTCCGCAAGTCGTCGATGACCTCGACGACATATTGGAGCTTCCCGAATATCAGAAGAGTTACGATGAGCTTAAAGCCGTAGTCTTAAAGCGATTTGGCATATCAGACCATGCTCGCGTTACGCAGCTTCTTAACGAAACCGAGCTAGGTGATCGAAAGCCTTCTCATTTGCTGCACAAGATGCAGGCTCTAGCTAAGCCTCTCTGTTGGTGACTCATTCCTTAAAGAGATGTGGCTTCGTCGCCTGCCACGTGACATGCGTAACCCCCTGTACGCAAACGATGCGCCTCTTTCTCAGCTCGCCGACATTGCAGACCGTATTTGGGAATCCAACGTCCAAAGATCTCAGGTTCAGTCTACTTCCAGTACAGAGGTAGCAGAACTAAGAGCGCAAGTAGCTGCACTTACCAACCGACTAGAGAACCTAACACAGTCCGGATCCAACCGCCGAAATCGTTCCAGTAGCCGCACTCCTCCTAGATCACGTTCGAAATCACCCACTAGGTCAAGCTATTGTTGGTACCACGAGCGATTTGGTCATCAGGCCAGATCGTGTCGCCCGCCTTGTTCCTTCAAGCGCAACACGCAGGGGAACGGGCCATCCAGCACGTAGGGGCGACGGACGTTGCCGGCTGCCCCAGTCGCCTTTTCTTCGTCACCGATCGCAGTACGGGAGTAAGCTATCTCGTTGACACCGGCGCAGAAGTCAGTGTTATCCCACGTGATTCTAATGATGTTATCGAAGAGGCGACTAGTTCATTGCGCGCAGCAAACGGCACCACCATTCGCGGGTATGGTCAACGCTCGCGCACGCTTAAGTTAAACCTACGACGTTCTTTTAAATGGATCTTTCTCGTCGCAGATACCCAGACGCCAATTCTTGGCCTTGACTTTCTGCAGCACTTCGATTTGCTTGTTGACGCGAAGCAACGCCGTCTGATCGATCGTCAAACAAACCTGGCAGTTATAGGTACTTTGACTGACATAGTCAACCAGTCCTGTATACGCCAACCTGTCAAGCTCACCTATCGCTCAGATGCTTAATACCAAGTTCCCGCAAGTCTTTCGTGCAATGACACCGTTTTCAT